CATTTCCCACAGGCCTGACCGCGTGTTCACAACCGCCCCTTTCTCACCCGACTTCTCTCAGCCTCTGTCCTCCCCCAGGCCCCGACTCCCCGCCCCGTGGGAACCAGCACAGCGATGCGCACGAGCCCTGCGGCCCTGGGCCCGCGATGCGCTGACCACAGGGTGGGGAGAGGGGTCCCGTCAAACCGCCTTCCTGCTCACCCTTATTTAGAAAACGCAATCCCTTTTCTGCTTGGTTTGAGAGGCTGGCACATCTCTGAGACCCGAGCCTTGTCCCTAGCGCTTCAGTCTTTGGGATGATCAAAACAAGACCACAAGCCCCAAATGGAGTCACTTATGCTAAGCCGTCCGCCACCAAACTGAGACTTAATTGCAGTTTCTGCCTCTCCCAGGACTGGAATCGTAAACCAGTCAATCAGGAATTACCTGGTCAGCACCAGTGAAGTCATCTGCCTGATGGACGCCTGCCATCCCCTAATGGAACGGGACCTTGCCACAAATACGCCCGTTTTTGCTAATAGAACTTCCTTGTTCCCGCTCCCTCCTGCCTGGAAGAGTCTTTCCTTTCGTGCCCCTCCTCCAAGCTCCTTCTGTCCGCTAGAACGGACGCCGCCCGATTTCACGAATCGGTGGGAAAAGCCCATTAGAGCTATAGCATTTACTCAGCTGAATTTTGTTTGTTCACAGGATTGAGGTCTCTCCCTAACCTAACAGGGATTTGATTTTATCTTCGAGAAGCCCCTGACCGCCCGGGGGGGGCGTCCCTCCCCCTCGACCCCGCCCGGCCAAGGACTCGGGGGACCCGGGACCCCACGCGGGGCCGGGACGGGAGCCGGGACCCTCCCCGCGGCCGAGGGCGGGGACTCAGGGGGAGGGGACCCAGGGGGGCGCGGGGAGACCCGGGCCCGCGGCCGCTTCCAGCCGGTTCCGGCCGGTTCGCACCAGCCCCTCCCGGTCCCGGCCCGCGCACTCACCATCTCCGCCCGCTCCGGACTCTCCGGGCGGCCTCCCCGCGGCCCCGCGGCCCCGGCAGGTGAGAGCGACGGGGACGGAACACCCGGAGCCGCGCGGGGCAGGTGCGCGCGGGGAGGCGGCGGGAGGAGAGCGACGTCCACGCGGGTGCGAGCGCGCCCGCCCCCGGCTCTGATTGGACGGGGCTCCGGGAACCTGCGTCCTGATTGGGCCGTATTCTGGGCGCCTCCACTGCCTTGGCCCCTGATGGGACAGTGATCCTAGACCCGCCCCCGGCGCCCTTGATTGGACAGCTGTCCAGAGCCCGCCCCTCGTCCTTTTATTGGGCAGTTTCCCCCCCCCCGTCCCGCCCCCGAGTTTCTGATTGTCCCCCCCCCGTCACCGCCCCGTTATTCCTGATTGGACAGTGTTCCGAGTGACAGGCGGGGGCGCAGGTCACGTGGCTGAGCCAGGCGGAAGTGCGAGTTCCCGGTCTCAGCTTTTCCCTGCCCGGCCTCCTCTTCGGACCTGGACTCGCCCGCTCGGGTCGTGGGATTCAGCAGAGCCCGCTCCCGGCTGGAGGGACCCGGCGTCTGCCCGCAGCTCCGCGGCCCCGCCTGCGTCCTCCTTCATCTGGAAATCGTGACTTCGTTTCCCCGCGGAGCGCCCCCTATCCGGACCCTCGACAGAAGAGGGCTTGGTGACCTCCGGAGTCAGGGGTCGGCCTGGGGACCAGGTCACCGTGGATCTGTATCCTTTGCCAAAGAACAAAGACACTCAACAGTGAGGTCACCGCGTGCAAGGCTCGGTTTTGACGTGTGACCTTTGACACCCGGAGGCCCAGCTGTCCTTCCCCGCCCCCACCTCTGGGGCTGACCAAGGTCCCATTTCTTACCCAACCTTGTCAGACTTCCTTCCCAACAGGCCCTGAGCTTTGGGTCACTCCCCCAGTCTGAGCAGGCTCTGAGATGCTGTACCAGCCCCTGGTCAGCTTCTCCCGAGAATGGGCTGACCGCAGGAGGCCCTGTCCTCTCCAGCCGTGTGCTCCTGCAGCCAGCTCCTCTGCCCAATTTCCCCTACTGCTCACCCTCCTTACGTAGTAACAAGAAGCTCTTTTGCGTCTGAGTTGAGACCTTGCACATCCCTGAGATCTGAGCCTTGTCTTTATTGCAACAGTCTTTGTGAATAAAGTTTCTCCGTATCTAAATGTAGACTTGTTTTTGTTAGGCATAGTTTAAATCAGGAAACCTGCAGCTTCCCGAGAGCTCGGTGTTGGTGGGAAGTTGGAACACAGCCCCGGAGCAGGAACTGTTGTCAGAACAACCACAAGACCCGAGATGTGCTCATGAAAATTCGTAGGTGTACAATTTACACTGGAAAGGAATTTATTTTAGGTCAGTTTTTGAGTGTGTCCCTAGAGAACTTTGAAATATAAAAGGCTGATACCCCTAAGGCAGTTAAGTTCCTATTTAACTGATTTAAGAACAAAACAATAAAAGCTTATATAAATTTGGGATGGACCAGACAACTCAACACACTTACTGAACGGGCTAAAACTCCTAATGCATTCAATAGGCTGCCTATTTCAGACAAATCTTTCCAGGTCGAGACGGGATGGAAATACGATCTCTAATATTACGTCATTTTATTTACAAACAATGTTTAAAATTCGTTTTTCTGGGTTGTGTTTTATGTTTTATGTTTTTATTTATTTTTTGTGTGTGTGAGGAACATCAGCCCCGAGCTAACCTCTGCCAACCCTCTTTTTTTTTTTGCTGAGGAAGACTGGCCCTGGGCTAACGTCCATGCCCATCTTCCTCTACTTTATATGGGACGCCGCCACAGCATGGCTTGACAAGTGGTGCATCAGTGTGCGGCCAGGATCCGAACCTGTGAACCCTCGAGCCAATGCAGCAGAGCACGGGCGCCCTTAACCACTACGCCACCAGGCTGGCCCTATATTTTATAAGCTTTAAAGATTGTTTTGATGGTGAGACACAATACAAAAACACTGGGGTAGACAGCAGGTAGATATCTTTGTTACTTACAGCCCCAAACAAGAGAAAGTTGCCAGGCTGGGCCACAGAGGGAGTTGCACCCAGGCCAGGGTAACAGTAAACTGTAACTGTGTGTGGTGTTGGTTTGTATACGGCGAGCAGAGTGGGATGAGCTAGGTATTGTGGGCTTCCAGGGGATCAGCTAATTTGAATAACTCTGGCCTTGAGGCATAAGAGTGGTCCCTAGCTGTGTGGTACCTGGCCCAGGGGCTGCTGGGGAAAGGGCAATTAACAGTTTTTAGCCAGGACTTCAAACAGGGTCAAGAGAGCTCTTTGAAAATATTATCTTACAATTGGCCCCTTAATGTCTTGACATCAGTTTTGAGCTCAATTATTTGAGTGGCCCAAATAGCAGAGGAGAGTTCCAGAGAGCTGGGCATGAGTTGCCCTAAACAGCCTAAAAAACGTTTCACTATGACATAAAAAGGGAAAAACGAGTGAAAGCATGACAAGACCCTGGAAGCTGGCTGGTATCCAGGCTGCCACTAATTTGGGGTTAACCAGGAGAACGAATCACTCTCGGCAGAGGCCTCTCATAATGTCGTGGTTGAATTACGGAGTGTGCCCAGGTGTGAGTTAAGTTTTTTATGGTGAAGATTTCATGATTCAGGCTTTTTGGGAGAGTGGCCACCTTATCAGTGCTTACTCCACATACAAGAAGTGTTAATAACATACCCACACCTTGTTGGTTAGTTAGTAGCGAATCAAAGACCGATCTATTGTCACAACCATTTTTGCCGGCATTGCTGGATCAAGCAGGCCTAATATTTCTTGCACTTGAGAAAGAGGAGCACTTCAGCTTTCACTCTCAGATATGAGAGTTTTGGACATTTGCAGGTTAGCATCAATGATTTTTGATTGTTGGGTTAGGGTGAGGGTCTCTGTGGCTATTCTAGGAAGTCCCAAAGTGGTGTCAAATCCCATGTTATAGGCAGGAACAGAGAGAATGAATATACAGAGGGACAACGGCCAGACAGTGTATAAAGAGAACTCCGACCCACAGTCTACAGCAACCAGCCCAGGAAACCAACCCATAGTCTAGAGTAACCAGCGCAGGAAGCCAGCCTGCTATGTACCAGTCAGACCTCTGTCTCTAGCAAGCAATCCTGGAAGCCAGACAACCTCTGGAACAATTGGCCCCAAATGGCCAGGCCTTGATTAACAACTGATTCTTTTTTAGGACCGACCATGGAGAGCCGAACGTCCACCCCTAACCAATCGCATAGGATGCCCTGCTGCCAGCTGGCCTGCCTTCAGCCTCTGATCAAGGCATAAAAGCCTTCCCTTTTTTCCACCATAAATCTTTCTCACTCCCCTGCCTGCCTTTGGGTCTCTGACAAATGTAGGTGACAGCGGCCGACCCCCTTGCTCTAGCAAGCCCTAAACAAATAGCCCCCGCTTGTTCTCCTTTGGGTGGTCTTTGCTCCTTTCTGCAGAGCGTGGCGAGTCGATGATGCCTGGCACGGTGGGCGGAAAGACAAACTTTTCCATAAGCAGAAAGGCCAAGGCAGGCTAGAAGGCAGGGATGTGGTGCGTGGCTTGGAGGTGGTGGAAGGTGCCCAAAATAGAGAGGATAAACACCAGTTCTTTTGGGTCACAATATAGCCCTGTGCGTTATCTTTAGATTGAAAAATTAGTAATTGGGAATGATTAAAGACTGGGAATGGAGGAGGACGGTGTTTTTTGCTGGGCAGATGGTGAGGGTGTGAGTGTCCGTTAGGTGCCTCGTATGTGCTATTGCGTTGAAGAAACACACGAGCAGTGGTGACTTGCCATGCGGGGGCGCCCCAGATACAGGGGAGGTGGCTGTCCAGAAGAGATCTTAATTTCCCAATAATTTCCATCTCCGGGACAGAACTCAGCTGGATAAATGTTTGGTGAGGGGTATGTGCAAGCAAGCTGACGGCAAATGTGACAGCTATGAACAGTTGGTGCACGGAGGCAATGTTGTGTGTGTTGGATCTCGTAAGTATCCACGGGGCTGGGCAATGGGTTTGGATTTCATGTGCCACGAAGAGCAAGCAGGTTGGGCACTGTTGGGATGAGAGCGAGTGAGGTGTGGATGCTGAATAATAAGGAAGGGGGAGGAGTGGTTTGAGCATTGGGCAGCCAGCAGAATCCTGCTCATCTAGGCCACACACAGCCTGGGTGCTTCAGTCAGGTCACCCTTTAAGCAGGATAGGTGGGTGGTTTTAGCAGGCACCTGAATCTAGGAGGCATTGTGAAGGCATTGGACTTCGTCCCCATAGGAGCTTAACATTGTTTAAGGTGGAATTACAATCAGAGAAGGCAGAACTCACGGTACAAGTGGCACAAAGCAAGGTTGGGGTGGCCGGGGCAAGCCAACTGCAGTGTCTGGAAAGTCACTCCATGTTATGAGAGGTTTGGGGATTCGATCGGAGACGTAAAAGACACTTTCCACTCCAAACAAATGAACTGAAGGTATATTTTATTATACAGAGGATAGTAAAGGTGATAGTCTGCAAACAGATCCTAATAGGTCAAATAGTAAGAGGGAAAAACATCAGCTCGACTGGAAAGGGAGAACATCCACATCGGCTGAAGAGAAATGACACAAATCAAATCGGCTGAAAGAGAAACACCAGGTTGACCGAAAAGAGAACACATCAGATCAATTACTTCATATCGAATCAATTACTTCACATCAAATCAATTACTCACAATATCCACGCCCCACTGCTGGGAGAGCCCTGTCAATCGATGTGGCTGGGCAAGGATCACACGTCCTGGGCAAGGTGTCCCTTCCACAGGTGGAACTCTCATCAGGTCTCAGTTTCCAGCAGTTTTTATACCATCAGTAATTTTCAGAGTAAGCAATTACAGAGTTTGCAGAGCAAGCATTTAGTGTTTCCATGCACAAATGGTTATCAGTGGCGTACGTGCACTGAGCCCCCTGGCTAACGTCCCAGCCCAGTAGTTGTGTACATGCATTGTTCTCTTTGGTTATCATCTTAGCCCGGCACAGATGGCCAGTCCATCCCGTGCTACGACGGGAGCCTTGAAATGTTATAACTTGCAACTCTCTCTGTGGGAGAAAGGCCAGTTCCCGGGAAAAGGCAAGTTCCCACCACACAGAAAGCAGCTTCATATTTCTTTGTGTGCTGGTGGCCATAGGTCAATGGAGCGGCCAAACATGGCTGTACTCATCTTAAGACACTCCA